TATTTTCACCGTCGACAGTGTACTTCTCCCTGAGGAGTTGTTCGGGAAATCTCCTTCTCCGGCACCGGGACCTGCACCGGAGACTTCTCCGTCACCTGCACCTGAGGGAGCTTCCCCTGGCCCTGCTCCGGAGGCCAGCTCTCCTTCTCCAATGATGTCTCCTCCGGCGCCGCCTACCTCGTCTCCGGCTGGTGCTCCGGCGGATGGTCCTGCTGCTGATTCCGAGAACAGTACGGCGAAGAAAAACGCCGGTAACGTTAACGCTCCGGCATTGCTGAAGGTTCTACTTACTGTGTCAGTGTCGGTAATTGTGTCCGTTTATTTGTCCTAGATCGTCATTTACGGGCTTTTGTTTTATTTTATTTTTTTTGTTTTTGGGTTTCTGGAGTCATATTTTTATTTGTGACTGCTTGCAGAGAAGATTTTATTTAATTTGATTTATAATTTTTAAATGTCCTTTAATAGCGAGTGAGTCGTTTAGCTGAGTAAGAAGGACAGTGTTTTTGTTTTTTCATTTTTTGTTCAGTTGCTGTACTTTTGTTTATGTTAAATCCTTTTCTTACTTTAATAATGTTCCACTTGTGTTGGGTAGTGTCGGTGTGTGTGGATACTATGAAGGAACGTGAGTGACAGCTAAGCAAATGAAGAAAGCATTTGGTTTTGGGGCCCACTTTGTGATGACTGTTGCCTCTTTTGTGTGGCGAATAGAATAGTTTAGTAAGTGAAGGGCATTGGTTGGTTTGCTTAAACTATTAAACAGAAGTGAAATACAAAAGGTTGGAGTTTAGAACTTTCTAATGTTGAATGGGTAAAAACTGCTTTGTTGGCCTTAATACAAGTTATGTACCAATTTGTGCATGATTTAGTGGGCCTTTGGACATAACAATTATAAAATTCCAAAAAAAATAAAAAAAAATTCACGTGAAAATGGTTTTTTTTTTCGAAAAAAAAAATGTAAGAATAACTAAGACAAATAAAGTCGTTAAAGTAAGTAATTTTCATGAACTGTCACATTAATGTTTATATAATTTTTCACTGTATAAACATTAAACAATCATGGCATGTTTAACTAGTTTATGAAGCGTACACTAAACGACCCTCCTAGTTTTTTTACTATCTGCAGACTGCAGGTATTGTCTTTGCAATTTAAATTGCTGTTTGAATTACTATTTTCCGTTTAATTCTTGAATTTTACCAATCATTATTAGAACACTTTATGAAAAAGTTGAATTAGTTGGTACAAAAAAATCAATTCGAAAACTTATGTTTTTTTACCTCAAAAAGTGAAACTGAAAATCACCAAAGAACGTAATGACTTAGTGGGCGTTTGGACATAAGAATGGTAAAATTCCCGAAAAACAAAATTCAAGTGAAAATGGTATTTGAAAATTAGAGTTGTGTTTGAATATGAATATAATTTTGGATTGCTTTTGAATTTTTGTAAGTGATCTAAGTGAAAAAAATTAAAAACAGTTTTTTGGAGTTTTTTAAATTTTCGAAAAATTCTAAAATTCATCTTCAAGTGAATATTGAAAAATTTATGGTCAAACACTCATTTCGAAAAAAAATAAAAAAAAAATTCATGGCTAAACAGGCTCTTAGAAGTGGGACATTAATTATTTTGAAGAAGAAACTCTTGCAAAGAAGTTAAAATAATACTAGTCTCAGTTAATGCTGCTCGGTGGGCCGGGCCTGAACCGGACCGGACCGNCAGTTGAAGTTAACAAAAAAGTGAATAGTAAACACTCACATATATTTTTATTTTTAGTGAAGTGTTCAGCTTTTGGCTGAACTTCCTAATTTTTTAGTATTACCAAATTATTAAGAGAGAGTGCACCTACGGTGATATCAGTTCAAGGTGACAGTGTCTTTAGATTCAAATGGCTATAAATTAGCACGAACATTACAGATTTTTTAGCTCTTTCTGTGTAGAATCATAAAATCTGATGCTAAACAAGTGGTTGCGGTTGTTAGGGGGTCGATTAAATCTACCGAATTATACTGTACGAATCGATTTTTAGATTTCTTTCAATAAAATCGTAGTTTTTATATAAGCCTATAACCGTACCGATAACTAGAATAAGTTTTTTATTTTATGAAAATAAACCCAAAAAAATACCGAACCCCACCGAATAAATTCATACGTGAAAAATATATTTATATGTTAAGTTTAAAAATAATAATACATTCAATTTTTATTTTGTTTGGACTTGGATTTATGAAAATGATTACAAGTCAATAAGTAATTAAACTTAAAATCTTAATTCTCAAACCTATTGTGCTACTTCTATTGAAACTAAATTATTTCTAGCATATTCACTAGCAAGATACAAGGTATTCTAGTGATTATGAGTGACAAACTACAATATGTTGAATGTGTATGTTTCCTATGATTTAGATTTATCTTTTTGAATATTTAATCTTCTATATATAGACTTTATTCTTGAGTCTCTGCTTGGTTAATATCTTTTCACTCGTGTGATTTGTATTTTCTTTGTCTTTACTTAATTTCTTTTACGTTGTTGTAGAATAGTTGATGGATCTATGCTCTAACTATCTTTCATGTTTTATTAATTCATCATCGTTTAAACAGTAAAATATCTAGAAAGTGTTGCTAAGTCATTTAAAGGTACGTATATTATCACATTACACAATCAGACCTCTCTATAACAACATCCCTATATAATAACACTTCACTACAAAAACCAAGTTTTTTCCGGAACCAATTTACATGCTATGTTATACTATATATTCTTTATAACAATACTTCGCTATAATAAACAAAAATATTCGGAACAAACAAAGTTGTTATAGAGAGGTTTAATTGTACTTCTACTAGTAATTTTTATATGATGATTTAAAAATATCGAAAATTAATCGAATCGTACCAATAAAAAACGTACGACATGATTGAGATGATTTTGATAAGTCTAATTTTGCTTATATATAACAAAATAACCGAAAAATTAATATGGTATAAATTTTATAAAATAATTGACCTGATCCAACCATTGACACCATTGTTGCTGGTAATCATGTATTCGCGTGGGAATTTGCCTTTCCAATAAAACAAACAACGCTATAGGCTGTGGATAAACTGGCATCTCCAATACCTACCAATGGAACGTTACTTTGTGGATGATATGGATTTCAAATATAGAATGTTATGGGCATTATTACCGTTGCTATCACTTGAGAGGGTGCAGTGAAGATGTATAAAGCAAGCTCCAATAACATCTTCTTGATGGAATTTGTCACACCTTCTTTTTCCCGAGGGAAGAGAGTTCTTTTTTAATTAAAGTAACATTAATTGAAATAGAATTATTTATTTTCATCAGAATCGTCACTTGGGATAATTTAAGATGTTTCAAGTCACCAATTTATTTTAAATCCCAAATCGAGGAAAATTAACTCTATTTTTGGTCCGCAAAACACCGAAGACCGAGTAAGTAATTTTGTTAACACGGAAGGTGTGAGGCACTCTCGAGTTCCGTAGTTTTACCACGGTTGCTTAACTATTAATATTGACCTAATTATCTGACTTATTACATGTTTAAAACCTATTGTGCATTTTTACTTTTTAATAGCTTTTAATTAGTTATGAAATTATTTCTGGAACAAGTTACGATGTCGTACACTCGTTTCTTTCTGTACACATTGTGAATCGCATCACGGGAACCGTACCAACGATCTACAACATATTTATTTTTATTATTGTTCGAAATTATGATCGGGTCACATTAAATGCGCACCCGAATTGGGATTATGTATCACGACTATGCCACTAGAACCGTACTCATAGCCATGATGATTTAATTACGCACCTAAAACAACTACGAATGTTCATAGTTATTTTCCTCTATCTAATTTGAGATTATTGCGAAAGCTCGGAATTATGGAATTATTTGGGAGTAAAGTGCATAAGCATTTATAAATTAAGACTATATGAGTTTTGATAAATAAAACAAAGTCGAAGATTGGTTTGTGAATACATGAAACGTTGCGCAAATTGGCATTGGAAGCAGTTGAACAATCAATTTAAAACTACTGAGAAGCCCCTATTATTTATAGATCTCTTTCCACAACACTGACTAGTCAAGATTAAAGGGGACAAGTGTTATCGGTCAAGTTTGGACAGGCGTTCACATTAGGACCTTCAACTGGGTCCAATTGAATTCCGATGGGTTTAAATGTAAGGCCCAAAACATCACATCCTTTTTTGGAGTGGTACGCACAAAGATGCAGACTCTTAATGGGCTTGAAGTTAAACCCAAGCAATATGAAGTTCAAGGATGATTTGATCTTGGGTCAAACAGGCGGACTCAGTCAGGCTCACGACCAGGCCCATTAGCTTTTAAGAAGACAAGGCTCAATAATTCAAGGAGAAATCAATTCATTCAAAAACTAACATGATTCAAATTACTGAGATCATAGTAGAGATGTTAATTCTAATTTATTGACTAATTACAATAATTGATGAACAACCAAGTCACTTTAAACTCATTTCCAACTTAATACATACAGGGCATTCAACTTACAAAGAGCAACCTTCAAATTCTAAAATAAGTGCATTAAAACAATATGCGATTGAATCCCTCCTTGTTTTTCCTCAAATTGCCAGATTCCATACACATGCTAATCAGAATATCAAGACATGAAATAAGCACCTCCTTCTAGCTTCATTTTAACCTGAAAATATCAACTCCAATCTTGTTTCTAACTAGATGAACAAACCGTGTTTCAATATGTTGTATACACTCTATAGTACAGCAGGAACAACATTAGCATGCCTTGGTAGAATAAATGATTATCAGTAACCTCCAGACCAATTTATGAGCAGCTTCAGTCTAAATTTCAGTTAGATAAACAAAACAAAACAGAGGATTGAGGCTAACAAAGCATGTAGATAAACAGACTTGGCAAACAAACAAAATCATGGAGGAAATTAAACACATATGGCAACAATAATTCAAGCTTCGTTGCAAACCAACAGAAACTCAAAACAACAATCGACACATGGTCTGTTGATACTGACCCATGTAAATTTATACATTCATAACTTCAGAGACTAACAAGGAGAAAGGTTCAAACAAATTCAGCCATTAAACATGCTAGATCTGTATATTTAGGCAGTAAACAACCTCAATTTTATTCATGAATTCAATATAAAGCCACAAAGGTGTTTGAACATACCTACACAGCAGCAAAGAAGTCTTAAAATAGACAAATAAAGGCCGAGGACAGCTACAACTGAAGCTCAACTAATTAGGTGACAGAGAACATCAGCAAGAAGCAGAAAATCCAAGTTGAATCCAATTTTGAAAGCCAGAATTGAAAGAAAAAACTACAACTCTCTAAATTGCTATAGTTTATGAATTTTTTTTAGTATTTCCAGATCTCAAGTTTTTGAGTTTTCGTTTTCTAATTTCAGGCTGCTATTGTGTGTGTAGCGAAGGAAGGTGAGGTCTTACACAGGAAAAGGGTGAGGGAATAATTCTAATGAATGCAGCCCCTGAGATTTAGGGAAAAAACATCTTTATAACAGAAAATGGACAACTGTTAGGACAACTGTCCATTCAGATATTTACTCACATTTTTCCAACCCTTTTACTTCTGAAATTAGCCCTTTTTACCCCCATTTAAACGTATTTTTTCTTGTCTTTTGCATTATAATCCCTTCTAGAAACTTCTTGAACAAACACCTAAGACTCCCTGATTTCCCAAATTCCTCTGACCCCTTTAACTTTTGTTAATTACAAACAACTACCATAAGGAAATTATTCAGATTCAAATAAGGAAAGAAAGGGAACAGTAGCACAAATATTGAAATCTTTAACTAACAATCCACTTAATTCAAAATTGATTTAAACGAATTCAAACTAATGCAATTAGATTCAGTTTTTGCTTAACCAAACCATTAATCAAAACTAACTAGACGTGCTCTTAGCTAACCTAAAAACTCATCTACGACAATTAATGCGATCAAATAACAAACAACAAACGATTATAATCAAACTAAACAAAACGGTCAATTTGTGCCAAACAAACAAATCTATTTTCCTAAAAACTAAGACTAACCAATAATCACATATTGAAACTAGATGAGTGGGAGAAGAAAGAGATTACCTAACAAAAACAGAACAACGACAAAGAACTCCGGTCCGGACTCTGGTGGCTTCGAAATGAGCTAAAATCAACATCAATCGATTGTTCTTGTTAAGAACGATCGACTGATATAGGCCTTAGGTCAAGACACGCGAAAGTTGCCGGCGGGACAGAAAAGGGCAAAAGTTAGGGTTCAGACATTTCTCAAATTCAAAATTCAAGAGATTTAGGTGGTTTTATAGTGAAATTACACGGAGATATGAGGTGAGGGGGAGGTGGTGGTTGTCTGGTGAAGTTTTGGGGTGGTTTGGGGTGTCGCCGCCGCCGTAGGCAATTTTCGGTGGGCCGCGAAGGCAGTGGTTAAGAGAGAGGAGTTGAGAGAGGAGTTGAGAGAGGAGGGAGGTAGGTTTTGGGGAGTCTCTAGGGTTTGGCTGGGGTGGGGGGGAATTTTGGACATTTTTACGGGTGGAGGGATCAGCTGCGAGCCGTTAGATCCAAAAGGATCAATGGCTGAGATTAAAAATAATCAAAACGGCGCCGTTTAGTATAAGGAGGGGCTGGACCGGATTTTGGTCTGGGCCGGGGCAAGTATTGAAGAAGTTGGGCCATTGTAATCTTTGGCCCAATTTTGAACAAGACCAAACCAATTCTTTAATGAGAAATTTTCATAAAGTACTATATTTTAGTAGTAATTAGCCATTTATAGATATTATTTGCTATATTACGGATTATAGGTACTTTTTCTGTAGTTATAAGATGTATTTAAGCTATTGTATTCATGAATACAGTAGCAAAAATAGGCGTGAATCAGGGAAGTCCAGCTAATTAGTTGTTGTATTCGAGTATATTCGACTGTATTCATGGAGTGAAATATGAGGTTACAACTGGATAGATTATTGTATTCGACTATATTCACGGCATGAAATAGGGGATTACACTGTTTTTAAAACGGAAAGTGAATCAATTAATATAATAGACTCCAAATATAACTTAACAAACTCAATTATAACACACAAAATTTGTATTTTCAGTTATAAAAAAGATTCTGAATCGAAAAATACCCCAAAAACATAGCAATCTTCAGAGAAATTATTAATACATTTGAATACATAAATTATATTAATTAAAAAAATATATGATTACATTCATGGCATATAGCGAGACAATGAATACAATAAAATACATACAATACAACATGATATATTGAAATACAATGAAAAAAAAGACAGTGAATACAATGAGATACATGGAATACAACGAGATACATTGAATTACAATGAAAAAAAGACAATGAATACAATGAAATACATGAAAATACATTGAAATATATTAACTCTGCTTTATCTATGCGTTTAATGGAGTCCTTATCAAACCCAACTTCACGCAGTCGCTTCCATATGACTTCAACTGTCAAAGGGGTTCTTGAACTTGAAACCCTACTTGACGCCGAAATAGGTGTTCGATTCACCGGAGTCAAAGCCAGTCTCTCTGACCCAGGACTTGTCATTCTTGATTTCTCTACACTTTTGATGAAAATCAAAGATTCAACTTTTCTTAATCAATTTGTTGAATTCTTGCCTAACAAGCACCTTTACTTTCCCCTTCACAAGAACAATGCAGTTGATGGTTCACACAAATTTTTTCTGCTTTCTTCTTTGCCTTTTTTGCTATTTCTCTCACTTTAACTCACACTTGCTTTGTTGGCTGTGATTCTCTCTTTATGCAAAGTGGACTTGGCTGCTCCCTTTGTTCTTCTGCTCGAGTATCATGGGATATACACTCGATTGCAGTTGTCCATTGCTTGGGAAACGTTCCTGTCGGAGAGACTAGTGTATTTGTTGCAATATCGTCTGTCCATCTAAGAAGATGCCATTAGAAGAGGAGGAGAGCAAAAATTTTAATGGGATGGGAGAAGAGAATGGGGTGTAACAAAGTAGAGAGAGAAAGAAAATAGTGTAACTGAATAACGTATTTAGTGGCTTAGGGCTAGGAGGTAACCAAAATTAAATATTTTGCTATAAACCTTAAAAGATATCTATAGAATATAATTTTTTTAAATGGTATTTATTTAAAATAAATAAGGTGTTAACCTTTGCTATAGGAGGTCAAAATTCCTTCTTTAATTCCTTTTCTTTATTTTCTTTTCTTTTCTTTGATTTTAAATTCTAATTAAATTAATTAAAATCCTAAATTAAGTCCTAAATCAATCTAATTTGTAAAATTAAACTAATTATCTTTATACTATTTACATAATTAATTAATCTTAAATCAACGAAAGAAAGTTACTAATTTAACACTAAGAGCTAAAAATGTAAAAATGAACATCATTTTTGTGTTTTTTGTTTTAATAATTCAATCAACTAACGCAATTGCATTCTAAATGCAATTAAGACCTACAAATGCTATGTAATGAAGATTTGGACATTTTTGTCATTTTTTTATGATTTTAAAATGTTAAAAATGCATGAAAATGTAAATAATTACCAAAAAATCCTTAAAAATCTATAAAAAAAAATTAAAACAATTAAGAAAAAAATTTATTTATTGATTTTGTGGGAATATTTTTGGCGAGGCAAAAATTACGTGCTCACAGAAGTGCACCTACTTTTGTTTGTACTGTGAATAGATTCTTTTTTTCCTTCAAATATTCAATATTCGGTATTTACTAGCTTGAATATATAATTCATATTTGCGATGAGTAGGTCCATTTAAGTTTAGCCCCTAACATTCTTCATTCACGGAGCTTCAGTTTGATACTTTTGTTTAAGTGTGAAGCGATTTCAGTCATCTCACCACACCATTGATAGATATTGTGAACACAGTCGAAAGGAGAAGACATGTTGTATGTTATGCAATTCGATCATTACTCCATTATTTGCTTCATAGGGCGCATATATAGCACGGCAGTTCATTCAATGCTCCACATGTTTGTATTCCCTTCGTTCACTTTTATTTGACATATATACTAAAAATAGATTTTTATTTTTAGTTGTCACTTTACGCATACCAAGAGAATGCAATTTTTTTTCTTGTTATACCCACAGTATTTATTACTCATTTTAAATTATTTTCTCAAATCCAATAAAATATGCATCAATTAATATGGGTATTATGGTAAATTATACACTTCATTTATTATTTCTTAAGGGGCATGAAAAGTCAAAACATGTCAATTAAAAGTGAACGGAGGGAATAATAACTTAATTACCTGTCTTGAATTTACTTAAATGATGTTGTAGAAGAAACCATACCTACATGTAATAACTTAAGAGATTGTCTTGAATTCACTTAAATGGTGATGCGGAAGAAATAATAAGTAATCAGGTCTATTATTAAAAGATTGACTCCATAGCACGTTCAAATTAACAAATGCAGACTAACCAATTGCAGTTTAGTGCTTCGGAAAGTTTCTATTTGTTCAAGAATGTAAATAACTTTCATTTTTTCTTATATTTCTAGTGATCGGTCTGGCTGCGTTTCAGTTACTCCTCCAAATGCCAGTTCAAGTTTTTTAGCACAACTAGTTTTAGTGTACGCGCTTTGCGCATGTTATGTCGAGGAAGAGACAAATCCAAAAATAAAAAAGATAAAGAACACTAAATTTTAACGTGGAAAACCCTTCAAATTGAAAGTAAAAACCACGAAATCATAAAGATCTAAAAAGCTTCACTATAATAATAAAAGGGTTACAAAAGTTCTCCAATATGGCTACACAACAAGTGCCAAACACGGAGCAATAAGAGCAACAACTAATCAATTGAAGAAAGAGGATAATCCACAAAAATAAAGCTGTTGTTCGAGGCTCGCAATCAGATGCTACGAGCCTCCAAATCCGATCTCCACCATTCAAATCCAAGATCAAGATGTTAGGAACACTCAGCCAAAATTTTAGCCCGATCCAACGGTTAACGAATCGGTAAACGTGATTTGAAGTTGGCTGATCGGAATAAAAATTTACAGCAAAACAAATAAAAACTTTTGGCTGGACAACATGGGCATGTGCCCAACAAACTCCCCCTCTAGCCAAGGGGCCAAATGTGTCTTCGAGTAGAGAAACTATTGACAGGCTTCATGTCTGCCAATTTTCTACAAAATTCATGTTTATCTGCAACCATCCCCTTTATCAGCATATCCGAAGGATTTTTATCAGTGTGTATCTTCTCAACCTCAAATAATTTCTCTTCCACGACCATTCTTATCCAATGATACTTTCTATTTATATGTTTGGTCCTAGAATGAAAAGTGGAGTATTTGGTAAGACAGATAGCACTCTGATTATCACAAAATAAGATGTACCTTGGCTGCTCAAAGCCAANCTTAGCAAGAGGGTTACTAACCACTTTTGCATTTGTCATATTGAACCTCTTGAGTACCTTCTCAATGTATTGCTTTTGGGACAGAAATAACTCCTTTCTATCTCTGTGTCGGTAGATTTAAATACCCAATATTTTCTTTTTAGGCCCCAAGTCCTTCATCGCAAACGATTTGCTCAACTGCTTCTTAAGGACTGCAATTCTGGATTTATTCTTGCCAACAATANTTTGCTATTGCCAAAGCACAACTTCAAATCTGCAGTACCTTTCAAATACCTTAATATCCATTTTACTGCATCCCAATGTTCTTTTCCAGGATTAGAAAGGAATCTACTAACAGTACCAACGACATGTGCAATATCTGGTCTAGTGCAAACCATAGCATACATCAAGCTACCAACGGCAGAAGAGTAAGGAATATGAGACATCTCCTTTTTCTCTTCATCAGTAGATGGACTCTGACTAATACTCAATTTGAAGTGCTTAGCAAGAGGGTTACTAACCACTTTTGCATTTGTCATATTGAACCTCTTGAGTACCTTCTCAATGTATTGCTTTTGGGACAGAAATAACTCCTTTCTATCTCTGTGTCGGTAGATTTAAATACCCAATATTTTCTTTTTAGGCCCCAAGTCCTTCATCGCAAACGATTTGCTCAACTGCTTCTTAAGGACTGCAATTCTGGATTTATTCTTGCCAACAATAAGCATGTCATCCACATAAAGCAATAAAATAATAAAATTATCATCAGAGAACTTCTGGAAGAATACACAATGGTCTGAAGAAGTTTTCTTGTACCCTTGTTCTTATATGACAGATTCAAACTTTAAATATCATTGCCTTAGAGCTTGTTTCAATCCATACAAGCTCTTTTTTAATTTGCAGACATAATTTTCTTTTCTCTTAGTTAAAAAGCCCTCAGGTTGCTCCATATAAATCTCTTCATCTAAATCACCATGAAGAAAAGCAGTCTTGACATCCATTTGCTCAACCTCCAAAATTGTGCGCGTCCCTCGTGTTAAGGATAATAATATTTAAAAATAACATAAAAATATTCAAAATATGTGTTTGCATTATAATATAAAAATTAATAAAAATGTACAAGTTTCATAATGATAAAA